TTGAGCACTCTCAGAGTGTCTGGACTGCAGCAGGTCAGAAGTGGCGGCACTTCATCTGGCAGAGCTGCACAAACATGAAGAAGAAAGACAAAGTTTGATGACGATGTGACGAGCTGAAACGCTTTGCTTCAGATGTGTCAATAAAACTGTGAGCTGAGGTCTCACACACTCCCAAATAACACCTGAGCAGCTTTATCTCAGCTCCACCACCTCCTGCTCACATACCACACCTCATGTGGAGGATCTACATGTTACTGGATGGGATAAATGTCTCAGAGCGGGTCATCTGACTGGGTTCAGTAACCAGGTACCTAACTCACCCTCTCCACTTCAAGTCTCCTAACTTGAAATTTATCCGGGGCTTCAAGCTAGGGGACTTGAAGTGGAGAGGGTGAGCAGCTTTAGGTACCTGGGCGTCTACATCAGTGAGGACCTCACCTGGACACTGAACACCACACAGCTGGTCAATGGCTGTATTTCCCAAGGAGGCTGAGGAAATTTGGTATGTCAGCCAAGATCCTCAGCAGGTTCTACAGCTGTGTTATGGAGAGCACACTGACCAGCTGCATCTCTGCATGGTACGGCAGCACTACTGCTATGGACCACAAACACCTGCTGACAGTGATAACAACTGCCGAGAATATCATTAGGACTCCACTGCCCTCTCTGCAGAGTATCTACCATCGCAGAGTCTAAAGGAGAACTGCCTCCATCCTCAAAGACCCCACACACACCCAACACGGACTGTTCACACTTTTGCCCTCGAGACGAAGGTTTAGAAGTGTGAAATCCACAACATCCCAATTCAACAACTCCTTCTTCCCCACTGCTATCAGATTCTTGAGCAGCTGACCCATTTCAACAGTAATACTATTTTTTGCGCATCAGGTCATCTTGCATATTAAGCTCATAGCTCTTTTGTACACACATTTATTTCACTCTTAAATTTTGTCGTCATTTATTTATTTATACTATTTGTATTTTATCTGTTCTATTTCTATTTATACATACTAACTGGGCATCTGTGTGTGGACAGCAAAGAAATAATTTCATTGCACAGAGAAATGCTTTTCTTTGTATAGATGACAATAAACACTTTGAATTTTTGAATCTGACTTACTGTGCAGAGCGCTGACCAACATATGAACAGCATTCTGCTCACTTGTGGAGATGTTTGAGACATTGAGAAGGTCCATGAAGGAAGAGACAGCCTCAGACTCACACTCAAACACTCCATTACTGCAATGATCCAGCTGAGAGGAGCAGAGGATTGTGATTATTATTAATATTATTGTTAATAGTCTTGTTCTGGAGCATACATTTGTAGAAAGCAAGAGCTGGGGGTGGGCTACAGAGCAGCTTCCAGATGGGAGGAAAGTGACACACAGCTTGGCAGCGTGGTGTACCTGAACTAAAGCTGTGCTTGATTTAAGATCACAAATACAATCAGCAGGTCTGTTCTTTGTTCAGATAAACAAATAAAAAATAAGACAGGCCTGCTGTCCATCTGCCTGTAAGAGAGAGAAGTTTCCACCATTGCATTAACTGATAAAGACGTCAGTGAGAGATGAAACCTGATGAGGAGCTTTTTGTAAATATTCTCCTTACTGTTTTATCCAGCAGAGAGAGATTGTCTCCATCCTCTACGAGCTTGCTGAGTGTTTGCAGCAGATCACAACGGGTCGACTCAGGAAGATCTGCCAGCGGCTGCAGTAGAGCTTCCTTCATCTCTAGTTCTGCAGCAAACAAAGAAACAGCAGCAATGAGCTGACCACACTGTCAGTACATGAAAACAGAGTTTGTGCTGGAACCAGCAGTTTGTTAAACAGCAGGTCTTAAATCTCTAAAGATAACAAGCGGATTATTTCAGAACTGTGAAGAGCTCAGCAGATTTAAACACACACTTACCTTCTTTTACTTTTTTCACAGTTGGATTGCTTACGTCATCACAAAGGAGCCAATCTGGAAACAGATCTCAAAGTGATTATCACCAGAAACTCTGAAAGTCTTTACTCTTACAAAACTGAACCACAGACAAACACACATTTTACAATAAAAGTCTGGACAGACCGACTCTTTGTTTATTCTTAGTTTTTTTTTCCTACTGATATTCAACTGATAACTACACTTTATTGCCAAAAGTCACTCGTCTGACATGACACGCATGTGACATCCCATTGTTAATCCACTGGGTTTATTATGATGTCGACTCACCCTTTACAGATAAAAAAGCTCTCAACTCTTCTCAGCCTTTCAACAGGTTTAAAAGTGTTTATGGGAATTTTTGCCCATTCTTCCAGAAGCACATTTGTGAAGTCAGACAGAGGTTTTCAATAAGAACGTCTGACACACAGACTCTGCTCTAATTCTTCCAAAATGTTTTCTATCGTGTTGACATCAGAACTCTGTGCAGGCCAGTCAAGTTCTTCCATACCGGACTAACTGATCCATGTCTTTATGGACCTACTGTGCGCATTTATGTTGGAACGGGAGGGGGCTGTCCCCAAACTGTTTCTACAAAGTTGGTAGTAGGAAGTTTTCCAAGATGTCTTGTTATGTTGACGCACTAACACTTCCTTTCCCTGGAACTAAGGTGCCAGGCCCTGCTGCTGAAAAACAGCCGAATACCATAATACTCGCTCCATCAAACTTTATACTAAGCACAATGCATCCAGAGAAGTTCTTGACAGTATTTTTAATTTCTTCTTCTTCAATAACACCATTCAAGCAATTTTTCCACACTAGCTACCTCCTGCTGGAACGCCAAAAAAGACCTCTAGGTACCGTTCAAAAAGACACTGAAAGACAGTCAGTTGGTTTTCAACATTAAAATGTTTGCTGGTTATTTCCTGCAAATTGTATCTGCAGAAAGTAAAACTCTGAAGGTAGAGACTCTGTGTAGAGAGCACTCTCTCCTGGGATAATGAAATGTGAGCACCTTTGTGTCTGTCTGTGAAGTTTTTTGGCTATTCATAATTATTTTTGGTGTGGAACCTAAAAAAAAAAACAACCCAAAAAAAACAAAGCTCATAGTCCAATGAGGATGACACTAAGCATAGGTCTAATCGTGGTTGGTTGAAATGTTGAAATGTTCACCTGAACAGGAAAAGGAGGGATTTATGACAAAGAGAGAAACAGCATAAGGACTTTTTTTTTTTTACTGATGTAAGCATTTCAATCTGGAAAGTGTCTGATTTTAACTCTGATGCTGAATAAATAAACTCTGAATAAACTCAGCAGTCTAAAGTGAAAGCTCGATGCTCCGTCGTCTTTGGTTTACAGTTTGATACAGATGTTTTTCTCTTAGTAACACTGAGTAACTGTGAGTGCGACTGTGAATACAAATACGACATCAAAATTTTTTTTTCAAATTTGCAAAAGAAGAGAAGTTCAGACACCCAGTGACCTACCGAGTAAACTACGAGTCCACGGCTCACATGAGATCTCTAAATGAGAGAAAAAGAGAAAGACTACTCAGTGACACCGACACACACACCGACACACACACACACACACACACACACACACACACACACACACACACACACACACACACACACACACACATTAAACACAGTGTTGTGCTCTTACTCAGTTTCTCATTCTCTATCTTTATCTCCACCAGGCTATAAGCAAAGATGGATTTTGCTGGCACAGTGAAGCTTGTCTCCGCCTTACTGCTCCCCTGAAGAAATACAATATTATTATTATTATTTAGACCAATAATACATCTTTAAAATCACAACGAGAGGGAGACAAGGTCAGAGAATCTTTACTATGACTTTGAGAGTTCTGGAGCTGCTGACAGCAACAGATCCACAGCAGGCAACCCCACACGAACCACAGATATACTCAGAGAACTGGAGTTATAGTAAGTAACAACTATTTTGACTATTTGCAAATGATTTCTCCTTCTGCTCAGTGTTTATTGGCAGTTGACAAACAACGTATTGGTGCATTACCCCATCAAGTTTATCGAGTGTGCACCAAAATGTCACTTAAAGATTAGATCCGATCATACAAATGCGTTTATCAAAGACAACTAAACATTGCCTGATAACTGTTACTTCTAGAAATACTTCTCAATAAATCAATTAACTCTAGTTTCTGTTTAGGTTTTGAATCAGTGGTCTCATTTCAAAATCGTTTCCATATGTTCAGTGTTCCCACATGGTCACTTTAACAGTAGAAAGTTGTATTTATCGCTCTTTGTCACTTATGCCTATGTCACTCTTTTACTGCACTGTTTACTACCTGCACTGTTCTCACATGCCACCAAACCTGCAGGTTAAAGCTTGTTTAATGTCCAGTCACAGTGAGCTGTGTCTTCTTACAATCAGCTCCACCAGATATTATCTGGACAAGTTCAGACCTGCAGTGCCACCCAAGATAAATAACCTCCAGCCACGGTTTAAGTTCAGTACCAGGCTTTAAACCTTGTTTGGTCTGCATTTCTTCACTGAGCCTGAAGGAACATTGGGGTGACAGGATAAGTGTCCAACTCTCTTTACACATGAGACATGGATAAAGGCTTCAAACACTATGTCTGTAAATAAACCAAAAACATTGGCATATTATGTACTGATTATAACAGTCAGAGAAGTCTGCTGTTCATGGTTGTTGAATTTCAAATAAACTACCTTAGTGCCCCACCTAGCAGGTTTGTCTCCTTACAGTGGCCCTGAAATGACTCCTACAAGGTCTTGGTTTGCCCTAAAACAGTCTATGGGTCCCTGTATGTGAAGATCAGAAACAGATACTCTTGTCCCTGCAGACCGCTGAATTCACTCACTCACCTTTGCAAAGACACTCAGCATCTTTACATAAGAAGTGAAAATGGAGCCATCAGTCGTAGACTTTCTAATAATTTTGACAGCACTGGAGTTGTAAACTATTTGAGAGACAAACATCAGTTTATCCTTCTCTTTCAGTCCCAGCAGGTCCAAGGTATCCTTGTGTATTTTCCTGGATTTAAAAGGAACCAACACAGAGGAAAAATTGGCTTTTATTTTGAAAATACACAAATAAATAAATAAGCAATAAATAAGCAAAGAGACAGACGTACCTGCCCTTGAATCTGCTCACCACAGTTTTAACATTGGCCTTCTTTGTCATCATGCTGACGGGCTGAACCAGTCCATCCACAGAACTAGTGCTGGCATTAATATAAGCTTCACCCACATTACTGCATTCTCCACCTATACCTCCACTCCCACTCTTCTCTGTAGTGATCCTAAAGTCCTCTACCAAGACTTCCTCGGTGTAATCTGGCAGGAGAATGGAGCATTATTTTTCATACTCGGTTTCATTTTTTTCTGTTTCATATGAGGTCAGCATGCTGTCATGCAGGTCAGCTCAGTGAGGGTGAACTGTTTAGGAGACACAGGTTCATGAGTGGCAGGGTTAGTGGGCTTAGAAACCTTTTATTCAAGGCTTTACAGCGCTGGGTCTTTTTTTACTGTGCATAATCAAGATCTGGAAATGTGTGTTTTCACTTTACATTCTGAGGGGCTGTGGCTTCGGCTTCTTTTGGCCAATTTTCATGATTGACATCTCTTTTGAATTGTTTCAGCCAAATGAATCACAGCAATGTGGCATTGTTCATGTCAGTTCCACTAATTAGAAATTACAAGGTGAAAAATACACATCACCCTAAATTACAACACTTGCCCTGTAACAATCAAATGTCTGTAACTGGGCAGAGAATGGTGATTTTTAACGGAAACGTCTCTGAGGCATTGTGGAAGATGGAGTAAGGAAGGAAACATTCTGTAGAGCCAAATGGATGTTTACACATTGGAAACAACGAGCATGGTAAGCCCGATTTTCATGTTATTGATTGTTGATTATCAAAAATATTATGATCTTTTTTTGTGGCTGGTTTGGTGAATTTTTGTCACATTGTGATGAAACTTGCAAACCATCCTATCTTTGTAAATATGAACTACAAGTATACTTTGATAGGTAAAGTTAAGTGGTAAACAATCCTACTTAAATTTATGCTGGAATTATTGTGTGATAGCCAAAATGTGCATAAATTATGTATGATGGGATGGTATGCCGGAACACCGGGACTTTTATTACCATGTCCATGTTACAGACGATTAAACGGGAACTTTGCCCTCTTGCTCCCAGTACCAGGGGCAATGGAGGGTAAATTTTAAACTGTCTCCTAAACAGCTCACCAGGTGAACCTGTTGACCTTCCTTCACAGAACCATGGTTACTCAGTAACGCCTTGTTTCTTGATAACGTACCTGGAGAGAAGTTTTCTTCCTCGGTGAGCTCGGGCAGGCTGCAGTGTATCACTTTGTACTTCTGTACTGGCCAAAAAATTCCCTCAGTGACTTTGACCAGAGTCAGTAGATCCATTTTACAGTTTAAGTTATCATTAGAGATGAGGTCTGTTCCTCCCAGCGTCTGGACAAATGCTTTGGCTTCAGCAGCAAACATCTTCTGTGGAAACAAGAATAACATTTCTGTACGTCAGCACAGAAGATTTCCATTTTTTTTTCTACATTTATGGCACAGGAAGATCTTGAGGAAAGTAGTTTCTAGTTATTTGGCAGGTTTAGATGCATCAGTCAAAGCAGATGACTCAGTTAAAATATAATCAACAAATAAGAATTAACAGGAAACTGAGATTAAAACACTCAGTGGGTGTCTGTATGGTTGGTGCAGATTTTCATACCAGGTGCCCTCCCTGATGCATTGCTACGAATTATATGTCATAACAAATGCACAAGCAAAAAGATAATCCAAGCAAATAATTTCATTTTGCTGGCGCAATTACATTTCTCTACAGTTTCACGCTTTCTGCATTTGGAGAGAAATCCTGCTCGCACGACTACATTTACTTTTGACAGTTGGAGGCAGAACCTAAGGCAGGACGGGGTCACTTTGATGGACACCAGATTACTCAGCTCACTGTGGGTTCAGGCTCCACTGTAATATTTCATCCAGATAATGTTTGGGTCCTCTGAACAGACAGACTGTGGAGTGGACTGGAGAGCAGGATGTGACAGGCTGTCATTTGGTAAGTAGCTCATTGGTCTGAACTAGTGTCTGATAAACAGCTGTTGCATCATGCTTTGGAAATCTAAAGGCTCCTATTACTACATTACACACAGTGATTGTAGCTGCTGTGTGACAGGTGTGCTAAGTTGTAATGCTTTGTGGTTATATCTGTAGTTACCTAAATCCTTTACTTATATAAAAGTAATAATACTATATTTATGTACATTCTGTAAAAGTACATTTTACTTAAGTAAAATATAATTGTATTATTTTCATGAAAATAATACAATTATATATCATTGTTGAGTAGTTAAAGTGTACAACACAGCTGGAGCTAATTCACTGAAGCTAAACCACACAACAATTTATTAGCTGATTTATATTTTATATTAATCTCATTCTGATTAGACTTCATAATGGAATATGTGCATGAATAAATACAATAAAATAAATAAAAACTCAGTATGAAAGCATCTGTGCTACACACCAGTCTTGAGGATTTTGTGACTTTTTGAAAGTAAGTTTGCCAGGTTAATAACTCCTCAAAAGTCCTCCTCAAAGTCAAGTGAGAGTTTAATGCAGCGCTGCCTGAACACAACCAACACTCAAAAGTCTCTGAATCTTTCTGAGGTTATAACAAAAAGATGATGTCATAACAATCCGTAGTTTTGTCATTCAGAGCGAATTTGCTCACACAGAGCTGATCGCCTGCACGTCTTTACTTCTGAACCACTCAGCTTCTTCAAGATGCTCCTTTTACCCCGATCATCTCACAAGTTAAAGTCATCAGTATGCAGATTTTCCACCGCCTTGTTTTAGCCCACAGTGGTATCACTGTCAGAGGCAATGAGTCTGGGAATAAATGTATTTGTGTTTGTTTTTTTAATATGGTTTTACATGTATTTACTCCTGCAGTAAAAAATCAGTAATGATCTCACTGATGGCATTGCTGGAAGCTAAATGACATCTGCTTGCTTTTCCTTAGTGTTCCTGCATGTGCATGTTAATACAGGGGTGCACTTACAAACTGCTCTAAACAGGATCTTCATCACTTCTCATCTGAGCAGAAATAAGATATTTTTCACATTTGATGCTCTCTTTGTGGGATTATCCAGTAACATGTTATAAAGGTTATGGCATTTACTTTGTTAGTAATACGAATGAATATGATGACAAGAATTGAGATACTGAGATTTTATAAATAATAAAATCTGCTCCAACTTCATCACCTGCAGAATCAATGTTATGCAGAGCTGATGCATGTAAAACCAAATATGATGTTCAATACACTCAAATATGCGTTACCTACTGTTTGATTACTGTTTAAGCCCCACCCCCCCCCATCATCCTGACTGACACCCCCATCACCTCTGTGGACTCATTCCGCTTCCTGGGTACCACCATCACCCAGGACCTGAAGTGGGAGCCCACCATCACCTCCGTCATTAAGAAAGCCCAGCAGAGGATGTACTTCCTGAGACAGCTGAAGAAATTCAACCTGCCAACACGGACGATGATGCAGTTCTACACTGCAATCATCGAGTCCATCCTCACCTCCTCCATCACTGTGTGGTACGCTGGAGCCACTATCAGGGACAAACAGAGACTGCAGCGTGTTGTGCGCTCTGCTGAGAAGGTGATTGGCTGCAGACTCCCATCTCTGCAGGACCTGTACACCTCCAGGACACTGCGGCGTGCAGCTGGGATCTCAGCTGACCCTTCTCACCCTGGACACAGTCTGTTTGACCTGCTCCCCTCAGGCAGGAGGCTCCGGTCCATCCGCACCAGAACCTCTCGCCATAAGAACAGTTTCTTCCCCTCTGCTGTTGGACACATGAACAATAACCATATGACTGTTCCCACCACTAACACATGACCCTACGCTGTGTCACTGCATCATTCCATGTTTGGCACTGATCACCACCTGCACTCATGTATATATCTTTCAACGTAGCACTCTTAATTCTTACTCTCATGTATATATCTCATGTATATCTCATGCACATATCTTTCCACGTAGCACTTTTAATTCTCATCCCTACTTTTATTTTTTCCATGTCTATTTAAGTGTTATTTATGACACCATGTTTGCACTGAAGCACCGCAGCAATTTCCTAATGTTGTAAACCTGCTCAACATTTGGCAATAAACCCCATTCTGATTCTGATTCTGATTCTGAAATGCGTGCATACATGCAGATGGATCTGATATAATTTTGAACTGTTCATCAGGCTGTAAGCATGTAAAACTTTTTCATGCCTGTGTCCTGACAGCAAAGTTAACGTGAAACATGAATCTTAAAGAGTTTCTTACCTCCGGCAGATTTTCACACCCAATGGCCAAACCAGTTCAGACAATGAATCACTGCACAGTCACACGTGTCAGGGTCAGGTCAATGCAGAGTGCAACAGCTGGAGGTCCCACAAAGCAGCAGGAAGCTTCTTCTAAAAAGAAAATTTAGTTTAAACTCTGCGTTTAACAGATTTAAAACCAGAGAGGAAAACAACACAAAGCCTGTGTTTGAGTCTCTCAGCTGAAAATATGCTGCAGTGTCTGTGAAGAGCAGCAGGGCGTGTGCTGAAGACGGTAAACACGCTGCAACAAAAAAACCTGTTGGCTCATTTTACAGCGAAAAAACTTCACAGAAAACCTGTAGGAACCTGTGAGACTGCTTTTTTTAAACTCTCGCTTTATAAACAATAGATTCTTCAGTAAAACTGTCACTGACTGCTGATTACTCTGGTAATCTCTGTCCAAACATTGAAGGACATGACTGTGCATGCAGCAGCTTGTAAGTTCTGCTGAACTGTGACACAGCAACACAATGTTTTTGTTTTGTTTCTTCAGAAAAGTGAAACAAAGAATGTATTTAAGTTGGGCAAATCTACATACTGTGCTCTCACTTCCTTATATACTGAAGTTTTACTTCAAAATCACTTGAGGAAAATCCTGAGGTGTACAGTGAAAATGAGACTCCCACTCATCAATTTTAACAGCAGCGTTTTAACTTTCGTTAACATGAGCTCCACAGAGTGATCTGAACCTGTTGTGTCGACCTTACAGCAGCGCTGAGTCTCCTGTTACATGTTACATGTCTTCAACCCTGATTATAAGAAATATTAGCATAGTATATTTTTTTCAGATGTGTAGATTAAATCCTGTTTCAAATTGATTTCAACTTTCTTCAGAATTGCAGATGCAGCATTTTTCCTCATGATGGCGCCGGTAAGTCTCCTCTCACATCTCTGGAAACTCCAACAAGCCACAAGAAGTAAATGTTTTAAAATGTGAGTAATAATAAGAAACCCTAAAGCAGAACTGAAACTCCGTCTAATAAATTAAATCTTTCATTAAAGGTTGCTTGGACTGAAATGTTTTTTTGATGGTTGAAAAATAAATGACTGTAACGTTTTCCAGATGGAGATCTGCAGGATGAAACCATAAACACAGAAAGTCCTCTTAAAAAGGGCATAAGGTTCAGTCCAGACTCTGACCCTGCAGTTTCTATCGCCTGTTTGTGAGGACTGTCTCTGGAGCAGAGGGCACAATGTTTAGCCTCCTTCTCTGCATGCTGTCACTTCTTTTTCTTGTCTCTCAAGTACCAAATCTGATATATGATATTTCAAGAGATTAGTTCTATATCAATATTGTAAAAATAACTAACAGTAAACAAGCATGGAAACAGGGTCAGGGGCACAGAGGAGGGAACGGGACAGAACATAAAGGAGTGCAGCAAAAACGAATAAAATATTAAAACCATGAGCCGAACATAAAAGTATGAAGTTTTATTTATTTAAAAATATATATATATTTTATTAGATTATTCTTTTTATTTTTGACCTTTAACAGATGAAAGTTCAGGAAACAATGGCAGAAACGTTTAAAGATGCAGAATGCTGCTGTGAAAACAGGTTAACAAAGATCACAGCAGCTGACATTAAGGGTTTGCTGTGGGCTGCATCAGGCTGAGTCCCTGCACAGCGAGGCACAGAACCTCCAGCAGAACCTCTGGGGGCAGCTCGGGCCGGTCCCAGCCATCACTCAACTCTTTCAGCTTCTGATCGTTCAAACAGATGAACTCGGCCGCCCAGCGGAGCTCCCCTCCCTCCTGCAGGGGGACGGGCAGGGACTCTGGCAGTGTGGCCTGACCGTCCTTCAGACCATCCACCTGGAGAAGCAGAGAGGGAGCTGTTGTCTGATCAGATTCAAACATGAGGAAGACTCCGCCCACAGGCTGCTGATAGTGGGCGGAGCTGCTGCTGATGTGCTTTTACATGTGTGGGATTTTCTGTTTAGTTTTAGTTTATTCTTCTTCATTACAAAAACATGACAGACGATGCTTTAAGGTGTCAGATTACACATGTTCAGTGTGCTCAGTCTGTAGGATAAGCTGTGATGAGGCTGGCAGCTGTTGAGAGGAGCATGTAGATGAATGCAGATGAATGAGTGAATGGACCCACCAGCTGGTTGAGCACTCTCAGAGTGTCTGGACTGCAGCAGGTCAGAAGTGGCGGCACTTCATCTGGCAGAGCTGCACAAACATGAAGAAGAAAGACAAAGTTTGATGACGATGTGATGAACTGAAACGCTTTGCTTCAGATGTGTCAATAAAACTGTGAGCTGAGCTCTCACACACTCCCAAATCACACCTGAACACCTTTATCTCAGCTCCACCACCTCCTGCTCACATACCACACCTGATGTGGAGGATCTACATGTTACTGGATGGGATAAATGTCTCAGAGCGGGTCATCTGACTTACTGTCCAACGCGCTGACCAACAGGTGAACAGCATCCTTCACAGCACTGGAGGTGTTTGAAATATCGAGAAGGTCCATGAAGGAGGAGACAGCCTGAGACAAAGTGCCTTCAAATGCTCCATTACTGCATTGATCCAACTGAGAGAAGCAGAGGATTATTAGTAGTAGTATCAGAGCAGGGTGGTGTTTAGTCATGGAGAACATAAAACTAGTTATGTCCATAAATGTTTGGACAGAGACAACTTTCTTCTCATTTTGGTTCTGTACATTACCACAATGAATTTTAAATGAAAGAACTTAGATGCAGTTGAAGTTCAGACTTTCAGCTTTAAGTCAGTGGGTTGAACAAAAAGATGCATAAAATTGTGAGGAACTAAACCATTTTTAACTCAATCCCTCCATTTCAGAGACTAAGTATTTGGACAAATTAAATAACTGAAAATAAAATGTTCATTTCTAATACTCTAATGCTGACAAACCTTTGCTGGCAATGACAGCCTGAGGTCTTGAACTCATGGACATGCTGTGTTTCCTGCTTTTTGATGCTCTGCCAGGCCTCTACTGCAGCGGCATCGAATTTCTGTTTGTCTGTGGGCCTTTCTGTCTGAAGTTTAGTCTTCAACAAGTGAAATGCTCAGCTGGATTAAGATATGGTGGCTGACCAGGCCATTCAAGAATATTCCACTTGTTTGCTTGAATAAACTCCTGGGTTGCTTTGGGTGTAGGTTTTGGTTCATTGTCAATCTGTATTATTAAAAACCGCCCATTTAATTTGACTGTATTTAGCTGGATTTGAGCAGACAGTATGTCTCCGACCTCAGAATTAATTCAGCTTCTTCTGTCCTGTGTCACATCATCTCTTTTTTTTTTTTTTTTTTTGGCCTGTCCCGTTTGGCTCTTTTGCCATCAGAATTGTTGTCTAAAGGCACAGAAAGATACCCAAACCATCACACTGCCTCCATCGTGTTTTACAGATGTTGTGGTATGCTTTGGATCATGAGCTGTTCCACGCCTTCTGCATGCGTTTTTCTTGTTCAAAGAATACTTTTCCAGGACTGTGTTTGTTTGTTTGTTTTTAGCCTTTCTATTCTTGAGTCTTATGAGTGGCTTGGACCTTGCAGTGAACCATTTGCATTTACTTTCATTCAGTCTTCTCTTTATGGTAGACGGTGTTGTTCAGTTGGTTGGATGTTGTGAGGTTATGACCTCACAGCCCACTGCCCAGTTTCAGTCATTGTGCAAATTTACTGTTTATAAGATTGGGGAAACCTGCAGCCAGCTGAGAGTGAAGAAGTCACTTGGATGAGTGACAAAATGTTTCTTCCACTGAAAACACTATGTCCAGGTGAACAGAATCCCCTTTTTGGGATTTCCTTACCTGGATGATTGAGCATGCATCAAGACATGAAATGAAGGGGTTTCTCTTCCCCATGGAAATGATTCTGTGATCATCCACCACTGTTGTCTTCTGTGGACCTCCAGGTCCAGGTGCTGAGTTCACGAGTGCTTTCTATCTTTCTCAGGATGTACCAAACTGTAGTTTTTGCCACTCCTGATATAGTAGCAATTGTTTTTTTCTTCTGTTTTTTCAGCTTAAGGATTGCTTGTTGCACCTGCATAAAGAGCCGCACCTTGTTTGTTCGCAGCAAAATCGTCAAAATGCAAGCACCACACCTCAAATGATCTCAAGGCCTTTTATCTGCTTAACTGACAATGATATAACAAAGGAATTGCCCACGTCTGCACATCAAGTAGCCTTTGAGTCAACTGTCCAATTACTTTTGTAATGTGTATACCCTCAAATGAAAGCTGAGAGTCTACATTTATGTCTGTTATATAACTATAATTGTAACATGTTTCAGTTAATGGGTAAAAGAAAAACTTGTGCAGTGTCCAAATATATGGCCCTAACTGTACCTGCTGTCTGTAAAGCCCCAAGCCTGTTGTCAGTATTGGTTGTTGGGCCTGTGCATACATGATTGATAACCAGCAGCATCCATGGTTCCGATAGCTGAGAAATATCAGTAAAGAGCTTTTAGAAATATAATTAAGCAGCAATAACTTTAAGCGATCCTTTTAATCAGTTTCTCACGTTGAAGTGGAGCAATTTTGCTTCACTCTTCTTAGTGCACTGAGGTTTGTGAGGATTTATTTATGCACAGGATTCTTAAGATCCTGCCACTCTTACAGTTTTCAGAGATGTGCTGATGTGCTCTGATCATTGACCTAGTTTTGATCTAAGCTTTAGCTGTGGGACAGATGGCCTCACATTTGACTCTTGAATACTCTGGTTATGGAGGAGTTTACAGTTTACTCTGTTCAGCTGCTTAGACATCTCAGCTGTGTTCTTGGAGTCTTGGAGTTTGTTCAGAAACAACTTTGCAAACCTAAGCTGAGCTTTTCCGTTCTTTTTAGAAAGAAGAGGCTTTCTTCAGGCAACGCTTCTGAACAAACCCCACATGTTCATTCTTTTTCTAATTTTGCTGTCATGAACTTAATCATTTAACCTAAGGCCTATGGAGTCTGAGATGTAGCTCTTGGGTTTGTTGCAGTTTATCTGAGGTTACATGGTCTGACCTGGGATGTCCACTGGTGGGGTAACTGTAGCACTGTGTTAACACACCTGAATGCACCAGATCAGCAAACTGCCAAAACATTTGCTTTTATACAGGCACTCTCCTTTGCTGATAATCCGCTAGACTGGTGCTTGTTTATTCTTGTGGAACCTCCATTCTCACGTGACTGCCTGTTTAACCATCTCTTCACTTTTTGTTCCTTGCAGTAACTGATGAAGCATCAGTTGAA